GAGCCTTTAAAATCCCATAGTTCCTTAGGAGTGAAACATATCTCATGTGGAGGGTTTCAGAAATAATTTCATAAGATGATACTTGTAGTCCATCACTCAAAAACTCAGCGTATGCAACAACAAAAAGTCCACAATCTCTGCATGGTATATCATCAATTAGAAAATATAATAACATCATATTTCAATAGTGGTAAGACAAAAAAATTTAATGTGATACCTACATACTATTGCTTGCTTGTTGGGCAATACCAGTATCATGTCTGACTTCGAATGGGTGAGATTTGTTCTTTTCTTGGTAAGATTCAAGAACTGACCAGTTGGTTTGGTCTTTTTGATAAAAAAAATATTCAAGGTACTTTGGCAACAATGTAGACAACTTTTGAATCTTGAAGCACAATTTTCTCTTAGTCCTAGATGAGGTGCCAAGGCAGTCCACCAGGTATACCAAACCCTTTGATAGTGCCAACGATTTTATTCTTATATTCAGAAACAACACTGGAATTATCAATGTATGTTTTGAAAAAACAATTAGTAGTGGTATATCGATATTTAGAATGACTTTATTGCTTCCTGCAAATAGTATAAAATGACATCCACATGTTGCACAAATGCATCAACAAGTGTATTTCTGTATCAATTTATTTGTATGTATTCATGTCTTAATCAAAAGATAAAAGTGGGCATGGATTTAACTGATCAGTCCAACACTTATTGGGTTGAGACATTACGTAAAACCAATCTTTCTCCTTTGAAAATGCAACTACAAAATCAAGTTGTTTGAACTCAAGATCTGAGCAATTGGCTAAGTAGTGATCGTGCTTGTCTCTTATGCGATTGTGTAATCATTATAAATAATCATTTAGTGGACAACAAGAAGATATACTAATAATAGTTGAACGACTTTACTTTTTTGCATGATGCTTGTAAAGACCCTCGTTTATCCATTGCGAGAAGGATGACATTCGTTCAGTTGGACCCTCGTCATCAATGTTAAAACCTTCAAATGGATATTGTTGCTTCACATCACAACTGACGACTTCAACTTTCTTCTCTTTCTCTTTCGCTTTCTTTTTCACTTTCTCCTTCTCCTTCTCCTTCTCCTCCTCTTCCTTCTCCTACTCCTTCTCTTTCTCCTTCTCCTTCTCCTCCTCCTCCTTCTCTTTCTCCTTATCCTTCTCCTTGCCTTTTGGGTTTGAGTGTGATACTGGAGCAGTAGTCACTGATTTTTTTCTTTCACTAATTATAGATAGTGATTGGGAAATATATTTTTTCAACCTCCTACACTTCAAAGGTTGTGAAATCTTCTTGGATGTATGGACATCAATATTATAAGTCATTTCCTTAAAAATATCAGTGAGTTCTTTAACATGACTAATAAAATAATCATGTTGCTGCTCACATTCTTCGCATAGACAAAAATAGCATTTGATGTTAGAAGAGGAAGCAACACCAATTAAAGATTGAGTTGTTGTCATGGATGAAGCTTCTTGTATCATTTCATCTACAAGGTAAATAAAAAAAGGTTGAGAGTTTACAATTGATTATAAAATAATAATGGGTAACAATTTATACTTATGTTGACACAGATGGATATTATGTTGCCACTGATGTACCTTCTGTTGCCACAAATGAATCTTTTGTGGCCACACATGAATCTTCATGTGTCACAAATGAATCTTCTGTTACTACATATGACCATTTTGTTGCCCTAACACATAGATGATATGTTCCAACATATGACAACTCTGTTGAAATGTATACCAACATATCACTAAAATGTAGCAACATACGACACATCTTTTAACAAATGAAATATATATTGGACGAACAAGACTATATTTCTAAAATCATATGAACAAAATAGTCACAAAAAAACAACAAAAGTAACAAAAACGAATTTTCACTGAATGTTAACAATACATATACATTTCCTCAAAATTAGGATTTTTTTGGGTTTGTTGATTTTCTTTCAAAAACAATAAATAATAGGTACCATTACACTATTATTCAATTTTCACATCTATAGAACAATTTATTGTTCATTAACCCAAGAAAAAAACTTAGTATTGTTCGAAAATTGTAAAATCTTTCAAAAAAATAACCTACCCATTTTAAGTCGAACACAATCTTCAGTTCAGAAAGAAGAGAGAGTCACAGCCGGAGATGAGGAGGAAGATAAGATAATGGGGGAGAATATTTGTTTTGATAGTCGGATTTTTGGATTTTCTAAGGAAGAAGAAGAGAAGAGAGAACGTTGGGAGAAGAAGAAGAGAAAATTCTATTTTCTTTTACTTTTTTTTAAATGGTTTGGATCGAATTATAAAAGTTGAAAAATGAAGTGTTTTTCTGTATTTTATGAAAGATTAGAAAGTTTTGAAAATGTTAATTGGTCCCAAATTTACTTAATTACATTTTAAAGTGAATTTGACCATTTCTTGATCAAAGTGTCACCAAAAACAAAACCCAAACTTAATTGACACCTTTCATTTAATTGTCTCAACTAACTAAAGCATAAATAAATCTACCTCATTTTTATTGCATATGTGATGAGCAATTATATCATCAACAATTATACATTAGAATATCTAAGTGTATGCATTAACATAAAGTGACTGTGATGAGCAATGTAATTATCCACCGATAATCATCTTTCAACAATTATACATCGAGATAACTAAGTGTATGAATTAATATAAAGTGATTCTAAAAACAATTTTTTGGTATGTATAATTATAAGTCAGGAATTATAAAAATCATTTTAAAAATTGATGATATACATAACATCTATGAGAATTAGATTGGTTAAAGTTTGGGTGTGTAAAGTTTCTAACTAAAATCTAAATATGTGTGTCATATTAAGGGGTATGGTAATTCAAAGGACATTTTTGTTCTTTAATGTTAAAGGATATTTCAGTTTTTAAAGGATATAATTTACTGCCTTTTGTTGTTACGAAACACTTCATCTACCAAACTTCATTTTAGAATGAAAAAAAATTAATCATTCCGTGAATTAATTCTATCTAGAAATATAATGGATTAATGCCATATAATTATTATTTAATATTTAATTAATTAATTTTTTAATAATATTTAAATTTAGTGAAGGATAAAATCGTAATCCAACTTTGAAGTTAAGATCTTCTCACTTATAATAATATATGATAATACTCTAATATTTTTTATTTATTTAAAGTCTATTCTTTTAATTTTTTTAAGATGTAAATTTATTAATATATTTTGTAAAAAAAACTATTTTGATATGTAAATTTGTTTTTTTTTTCTTTTTAAATGAAAAAAAATACTTTTTTTTTTATAAATAGTAGTACTCCCTCAATTTTAACTTGTTTGTTAGATTTTAACTTGATACATGATTTGAAGTTTAATAAAAGGCGAAATGATCTGGTGAATCCTTGTACTTGTATCAATTTGTATTCTGAACCCTTCTACTTACCCATTTGTCATCTGGACCCTTAAAGTCAATTAAAATGAAACTTTTAAGCCCCTCCAACCATGTGTGTAGCTCACTCTCCTTTATATAATTGACATGTCATATCCATGTAAGATATATCAATGCCATATCATAATTATTTCATAACTATTTTTTAAAATTATTAACCAAAATTATTTTATGAAATGTAAAATAATAACATTTTAATTTATTTTGGTATTTTTTAAAGTGAAATTTCATACATCCAATTCTCCCTATTATCACTGTTTCACGATCAAAATCCACCGGAGAAAGCCATCGCCACCGTCGTCGCCATTTTTGCTGGCAAAATCACATATACTTTCTCCCTCACCCATCTTCATCCCCGCAGCACACCATCACTATTTTTCTTTCCTCCTCCAACATCCACAAAAACAACAAACAAAGAAAAGGGACATTGAGAATGGAAGTCTTAAAAATAAAATCTTGAATCTCAAAAATATACAACTAACAACAAAATAATGCCCAAAACCCCCTAGAAACTAGTTGTAATAGTCACTGGAATCACTGGCAATAGATAGAGGAGAGAATACATTGGACAAATTGAAGAACAATTAGAATGTAAAATTCAATGTCGATTTGTGGGAAAGAAAGCGGGGACTGAAAGAAATAAAAAATGGGTCGTTGAAATTCTAGTTTGTCGCTGGAAATTCTTGATTGAAAATATAAGATCTACATTGTCATCTTTCTTTGTTTCCTTTCCTTTTCTTTCAATCAAGAAGTAACTTATTAGGTATTTGCAGCGAAAAGAAATTAATTTTTTTACTGAAATAGAAAAAAAGAAAAGAAAAAGGGGGGAATGGATCTGCTGAAAACAATGACATCAAGTATGAAGAAGGAAAATGGAGGTTGGAGCGTGGATGGGGTGTGGGGTTGATGGGAAAAGGGGATGATTGCTGGAAAAGAAGTGTGGTGGGGGTGAAGAAGTAAAGTATTTTTTTTTTCTTTTACAAAATTAATTATTTTATAATTTTAATATTTTTTTGATGTAAGTATGATCTTCATTTGCCATTTTAACGCGTGTAGCCATGCTTTTGTGCCAACTCAATCATATTAATGCCACATAAGACTGGTCAATGGTTAGAGGGTTTGATATATTATGTTTTACTGAGTATAGGGGTTTAGTTGACAAATGAATAAGTAGAAAGATTCGCAATACAAACTGATACAAGTATAAGGGTCTACCAGATCATTTTGCCTTAATAAAATATTAAAAAGAAATTTTGAATCTTATAATCTTAAATGTGCAAGTTTTTTCTTATTAATTTGAAAAATTGAGGCCACTCAATGTTGGGGTGTGAAACATGTGACTTATTTTATAATGCATTGAACCACCCATGCATCCCACTATCATACTCGTTTGGAATCAAGCGAGACAAATTAAAACACAAGAGATACGTTTGGCGTACGTCAAAAAGTATGTTTAGCTCTTACTGCAAACTGAACACATGAGATATATATGTCTAAAATATTAGTTCAACAATCCAAAGTTTTATAGAGAAGTTAGCAATCCATGGAGGAGCAAGGAAGAAAAGGGAAGCGGGTGTTGTTTTTTCCATTGCCATTGCAAGGACACATAACACCTATGCTTCAACTAGCAAACATCCTTCACTTAAATGGCTTTTCTATAACTATAATTCTCGCGGACAACTTCAACACCACTTTCAATAATATTCGTGCAAACTATCCTCATTTCACCTTTCACACTATTTCTGATGGTTTATCTGAAGATGATAAGGCAAAAACAGATATTGATGCCTTATTTCTGCTTTCTTTGTTCAACGAAAAGTGTGCTCCACACTTCACAGAGGCTTTGAGACAGTTAATGTTGGAAGATCCAAATATTGTTTGCTTAATATCAGATAGTATCTTGCATTTCACCAATTCCGTTGTGGACAGCTTTAAGCTTCCTAGGCTTGTTTTAAGGACCGGAGGAGTTTGTTCATTATTGGTTTTTGCAGCCTTACCACTTCTGCAAAACAAAGCTTATTTTCCTCTTCAAGGTATTTTCTTATCTTCATTCTTCAATTATTTTTTATTGAGAAAAAGAGTCTTATATATTTCTCAACTCTGTTATTTCTCATTATAAAAGTGATTCATTTATACCTATTATGTTACATAAATTACTCACCTACATTATTTGAAAGTGAAAGAAACAGTTTTAAATTATTACTCCCTCCGTTTCACAAAGAATGACCTCCTTTCCTTTTTAGTCAGTTTAAAAAAGAATGACCTCTTTCCTTTTTTGGTAATATTTTACTTTTTGCTTTCCACGTGGCATGTTTAAGACCACAAGATTAAGAGCAATTTTGTACATTTGACATAACTTTAATTTAGGATCCCAAGATTCAAAAGTCTTCTTTATTTACTTAAATTCCGTGCCAAGTCAAACCAGGTCATTCTTTGTGAAACGGAGGGAGTATTTGTCAAAAAATATATTCATGTAGTCGTATATTATATTTGATACTTCTAATACGCATTACTAATTATTTTTTTTTTGGATTTTTGATTCAACGACTGATTTAAATTTATTATTTTAATGTTCAAATTTAATATTTCACTAACTTTCTTGTAAAATTTATCATATATGCTCCCAATTTTTTTAACAAATACAAAAAAATAAAATACAATATATCCATAAAATAATCACTTTTAAATTTTGTTTCACCTTTTCTATTCACACTGTTTTTCCACATATTTTTACAATAAAGCAGGAAAGAAAAACATAAAATAAAAATAATAAAATCAAATAATAATAATTAAAGAAGAAAAAAATAAATCAGATGTGAAAAAGATCATACATATACAAAAACAAGGCTGTTATGTATTTTTCGAAAACTACGGAACAAGTTGTACGTTGAGAGTGCCTCCAAAATTCAAAACTTTATGTCATTTTGGAAGATTTCCCTTAGTTTCCAATTTGCACTTGTCTCATTGTCAATGTACAGCGATGCCAATTGGGTGGGTGTAGACCATTTTGAGCTTTAATCCATAAAATTTTAATTCATCCCACTTTATTTTACATAGCATTTTTTTGTGAATTAAACTCACCTCACTCCACCTTGATCTGTATATTTTTTTTTGAAAAATCTAGAGAAGTTAAATAAAAATTTAATGCTTCTAAATTTGAATTTGTAAACTTGTTTTTTATACTTTTCAAAAAACTATTTTTGCAAAAATTACAATTTTTATTTGTAGAAATAAGCAATTCAAGCAAATAAAAACATGGGTTATGCAAAATGCAAACTGCCGTTTTTTTAGTTTTTCACTAGAAAATATGAAAGAAATTTTAAGTAGCTTTTATTTTGTTTAAACCGCAACCGCCCCCATCCCACCCCCACCCCATATTTACTTTTAAAAGAATTATTTTGAGTTAATATTTGAGATGATCACTCAACTTTCAATAGTTCACTTAGAAAGTCACTCAACTTTGAGTTGTTCATTTGAAAGTAACTTAACTTTGTTTTATAACTCAAAAGTCACTCAACTATTAATAGTTCATTTAAATAGTCACGTAACTATTGATATTTTACTTAAAAAGTCACCCAACTAATTTAATTAAGTTTTTCATTAAATTTTGTAAAATACAAAAAAAAAATTAACTATTTTTTTAAAAAAATAATAAGATGTTTATTTTAATTATTTTATTGAAGTATAATTTTTCTTTTTACCAATTTTTTTTTTTTAAAATGGTATTTTTTTATTGCACTTCTTATCAATTTCAACTTCTTCTTCTTTTTTGGATCATTTTTAAACATATTTTATTCCAGTTATATAATTGATAAAACGGAAAAAGTTTTTTTGGGTCAATTGCTATGGTACGTTTTCCAAAAACATTATAATTAAATAATTTGGATTAACAAAATAATTAAAATAAATATCATTATTTCTTTAAAAAAGTAGTTTAACATAAAAATTAAATTTTCAATAAAATTTTATGAAAAAAATATTTAAATTGATTGAGTGACTTTCTAAGTGAAATATCAATAGTTGAGTGACTTTCTAAGTGAAACATCAATAGTTGAGTGACTTTTGAGTTATAAAACAAAGTTGAGTGACTTTTTAAGAGAACAACTCAAAGTTGAGTGACTTTCTAAATGAACAATTCAAAGTTGAGTGATCATATGAGATATTAACTTGAATTATTTCTACTCATGCTGCTTCCGTCTCATATAATCTTAAATCGATAACCATCCCATATAGCCTAAAAACTGCTCCGTTCCATTGCCATCCTTACCAACACTTTTTTTTTTGTTATTTTTATGACACGTGAACATCATCACATGCACAAAAAGTACCTGAAAACAACTCATCTATCTGACCTCTTCCTCACATTTTTTATTTACAACTTTGTTCCCATGGACCACATTTTCAGTTGACATATTTTACTGCGATCAAGAAAAAATAACATGAATTCGATATGACACTTTAAATAATACTTTTCTCATTGATATTTTTTTGAATTTTGAGATTTAAAATTAAGTATTTCTTAGGTCATGTTTTTTTTATATATTTTTAAAATATTTAAAATTATTTATTATTGTGATTTATAAGAAAATTTTAAATATGTATATTTTACTTTAAATTTAAAAATTAAAGGATTTCATGCCCATATAAAAATAAATTATTTGACTTTTGAAATTCAAAATTTGTCATGTATTTAGACAGAGAGAGAGAGAGTAATAATTGTGTATTGCATAAATTAATTATTTCACTGATTTTTTTTATTTTTAATTTTTTTAAATCCACCCCCACAAGTATTTCATAATTTGCCTACCAAAGTTTAAGTAGATGTAAAGAAACACACTAGTACTTAATATTTTTTGTCATTGCTGGACAGTGAACACACATTTTCTCCTAAAGAAATTATATTCGAATTAGAAGGCTCCAAAAGAAAAATTGAGACGGCATATCTAGACACCTAATACTCGAACGAGTCCCCATTGCATCTCATGGACATCCGATGATGACGTGGCATATAAATTTTGAAGGTGTCTAGATAATCACTTTGTAAGTAGTAAAAACAAGTTGAGGTGTCTAAATTATGTGCATACTCAAAGTTGAAATACTTACTTATTAGCGGAGATAAAGAACTTTTGAAATCTTCCATGGTTTGATTAAATAGTGACGTTTTACACTTGTTTAAAGCTACATTGAACCTGTTACTCATGAATTTGTTATAGGTATTGAATCTCAACTAGAAGAAGCAGTTGAGGAACTTCCACCTCTCAGAATTAAAGACCTTCCTTTATTCAAGACATATAACGTGGATGCACTTTATCAAGTTATTCAAGAAATGATACGAGAAACTAAAGCTTCATCAGGCCTCATTCTCAATTCATTTGAACAACTTGAGCAATTCTCCATGTCTAAACTCTGCGATGATTTTCCTATCCCAATTTCCCCAATAGGCCCCTTTCACTCTCATTTTCCAGCTTCTTCCAGCAGCTTGATGTCACAAGACCAAACTTCAATCTCTTGGCTAGACACTAAACCACCTAAATCTGTAATTTACGTCAGCTTTGGAAGCCTTGCAGCAATAGAAATTAATGAATTTCTTGAGATTGCTTGGGGCTTGGCAAACAGTAATCACCCTTTCTTGTGGGTGGTTAGGCCCGGGTTGATTCGTGGCTCAGAATGGATCGAATTGTTACCTAGTGAGTTCTTGGAGACAGTGGATGGAAGAGGACACATTGTCAAATGGGCTCCTCAGCAACAAGTGTTGGCACATCCTGCTGCTGGGGCATTTTGGACGCACAACGGGTGGAATTCAACATTGGAGAGTATATGTGAAGGAGTACCTATGATTTGTATGCCATGTTTCGGTGATCAAATGGTGAACGCAAGGTACGTTAGCCATGTTTGGAAAGTAGGAGTGCAATTAGAGAATGGCATGAAGAGGACGAGCATTGAGAATGCAATTAGAACGCTGATGGAGGAGGAAGAAGGGAAACAAATTAAAGAAAGAATGTTAGAGCTGAAGGAGAAGGCAAATTCATGTTTAAAGCCAGGAGGCTCTTCTTATGAGTCTCTGAGGAGCCTTACGAGTTACATCTCATCATTTTGATCATGTTTATCTTCAGTTCATGGACACTCATTTCATCTTTATTTTGTGTGGATCTACAATTAATTTGACAATAAAAATTTAGACTTTCTTATCTATTACTCCACATTCGTAAAAGTTTGGTATATTTATTGCTGCAGAGCTAATTGTAAAAGTGAAGCTACATTTGTTGCTAGAATTATTCAGAATGGGCAGAATAAATCTGCAATTTCTAGGCAACAATATAATTGCAGCTAACAAAATCAAGTTTCAGCTGAATCAGGTATGCTTATGCGGTGGAATCATAGATCTTATGTCCTGTATAAGACGGTCCAGATTAATGTATGACGATCCACCTTCATTGACAGCTTTTTTTGCCAAACTTGCCATGTGCTCTGTTCTTTGCGAGAATTCACCATTTCTCTTCTCCATCAAAGCTCTAATTGATATTGCAATGATGTCTCTATCACATGTATCTTTTATGTCAAGTCCCATCTTCCAAACCTCTCCAACGAATCTACTATTCACTTGCTGATCAGCAAATCTCGGCCAGCAAATCATCGGCACTCCTTCAACTATACTCTCCAATGTGGAATTCCACCCAGAGTGAGTTAAGAAACCCCCAATTGCTCTATGTGCCAACACCTTTTCATGTGGAACCCAATCAGCCATGTAGCCCCTTGCCTTTGTACCCTGCTCCAACTCCACAAGAATCTCATCTTTTCTCTCATGTCCTATTATCAAGTCTGGCCTCATCACCCACAAGAACTTTTGCTCACTATTCACTAGACCATACCAAAATTCTAACAGCTCCTCCTTTGTCAACCCCGCGACACTTCCAAAACTAACATATATCACAGATTTTGGTGGCTGCGTGTCAAGCCAAGACATGCAACTTTCATCTTCTTGCCACAAACTGTTTGAAGAGGTAGATTTTGTTGCAAGTTTAGCCTTTAGATGGGCATGAACTGCTCCAATTGTATAAACATTTAGACATACCATTCGAATTTGAGAAAGTATGGGGCCTTCAAGATCTTCAAATGTGTTAAGTATGAGACCTCGCGCTCGAGGGGTTTGTCGTGTATCTGTCATTACAATCCTGAAATCCGGGTTAGTTAAGTCACTCGCCTGACAAAAGCTTGGAAGGTCTCGACCTCTCAGAAAATCTTCCATGCCTTTTACCTTCGTCAGTGTCAAGTCCTTTGCATTTTCTGTTATTCATGTAATCTACCATCACTTCAGAGGCAAAATTTCTTTTAATGTTATGTTTTTAAATATGTCAGGTGGAAAGTTAGAATTAAGAAGTTGTAAAACAAAAAAATATAGTATTGTATTTTTACCTTTGAGGGGAAGTTCTCCAGCTTGAATTAGCTCAGGGATGCAAAAGTAGGACCAGAAAGAAGAGGCACTGACGGTACGGAAATAGATAATAGGCAAGTTGATTTCTTCGGCTACATCAGCGGCCATGCTTAAGATTCCGTCGACGATGAGACATGTCACCGAAGAATTTGGTATGAATTCTCTAAGAAATGGTTTAGCAATTGTGTTTAGAGAATAATAGAGCATTGATATTCCATCACGAGTATTCACTCCATCCATGGAAATTCCATGGGGAAGAGCTTGCAAATGGAATCCAGTACCAAATCTGGAGAGCACATCTGTGTGGTTGAGGAGGCGGTCATGTGTGTCAACAGTGACAAGAAAGGTAACGTCGAAGTTAGAAAGAGAAAGAAGGTGGGCCAATTTAAGCATAGAGTTGACATGGCCTTGTGCAGGGAAAGGGAAGATGATAACATGAGGTAATGGATCCATCTTAATGGAGTACTTATTTGGTGGAGTAGTGGTGTGTTTTCTTCTGCATCTTATAATACCAGGAAGCAACAAAAAAACGTGCTACTGCTACGTTAGGCATTCGATTATTGGATTTTTTTATTTTTCTAATTCAGTTCCGTTGGGTTTGATTCTTGGACATTTTTTATTATCACACTGAGCTTGTGTGGCTATTTTTAAATTGTCGTTCTGAGCTTCTGTCTATCTACTAGCACTGCATATTTACAAATTTAATTAGAAGATAATTTTTTATTTCAATTGCTAAAAAGAAATATCTAATTCATGACTGAATGGGTGCAAAACTATTCATTTTGAGTAGTATATTTTCTTAACACGTGTAATACAAGTACAATTTTTTGGTCCAAAGAAAAAATGTAAACTGAACACCTAATGAAAGAATTGATATTTCGATAGCAGTACTAATAATGGTGTGTAGTACTACCCCTTAATAGGCGGGCCAACTTGTGTTTTATTTTTCCACACTTGCCGGGACCAACCAAATTATTGCACTATGATGAGGTTGCCTTTTATTTATTCTCCTAACTTTTCATCGATCAGACACAAGCCAATATAATAAGCACGTTCTATGAAAGATATTTGTGAGAATTAAAGGTTAATGGTGAAAATTTTATGCAATGACAATCCTAAATGGAAAGAAAAAGTCTGTTATGTTCGTTAACTGTCAGAAAAAAATATAGGTCAATTCTTAGACATCTTTATTTTACTCTCTCTAATAATAGAAATCTTTATATTCGGAGAAACGAAAATATATTTGGCACAAATTGGCATAACTTTACTTTAAAATTAAAATTTTTAAAAATGCATTCTCTCAAACTCATTTTAATATTATATGTCAAACACATACTTTCTCAGTTTTATTGTTGATCTTGAGGTGAAGTTGAATTTTATTTAGTTGTTTATGTATGATTTGATCTGAAATTATATCTGGCCCGCTACGATCGACCCACTTATTTGTAAATGCTATTATCATGCTTACTTATCTTTCTGAACCCCTTCGAGGAAAACTCAGTCTCTGCATACTGACTCCAAGCACAAAGAAAAGAAATACAAAATTTGTCTTCCACAAATTTTGGCTTGCTCTCCAAATTTAATGCCTAACCAAGTAAATTGACACATGAAATTTTCTTTCATTTGATTTGATCCCATGAGAACCAAACCGCCTTATTTATGATGGATGGAGCCACCCTAGCATCCCACTACGTTTGGCATACGTCAAAAAGTATGTCTAGTTCTTATTGTAAATAAAACACATGGGATATCGACATATGTCTAAATTGATATCGATATATGTCTAAATTTTTTCTGCAACAATCCAAAGTTTGATAGAGAAGCTTAATCACGTATCTTCAACTTTGGAGAAAGCTATCTATCCATGGAGGAGCAAGGAAGAAAAGGGAGGCGGGTGTTGCTGTTTCCGCTACCATTGCAAGGCCACATAAACCCTATGCTTCAACTAGCAAACATCCTTCATTTAAAAGGTTTTTCTATAACCATAATTCTCGCGGACAACTTCAACTCCTCTTTCAATAATATTCGAGCAAATTATCCTCATTTCACCTTTCACACAATTTCTGATGGTTTATCTGAAGACTAAAAACCAAAAATAGATATTGATGTCCTTTCTCTACTTTCTTTGTTCAATGAAAAATGTGCTCCGCACTTCACAGAGGCTTTGATACAGTTAATGTCGGAAGATCCAAATATTGTTTGCTTAATATCAGATAGTATCTTGCACTTCACCAAGGCAGTTGCGGACAGTTTAAACCTTCCTAGGCGTGTTTTAAGGACTGGAGGAGTTTCTTCATGTTTGGCTTATGCTGCCATCCCACTTCTGCAAAACAAAGCTTATTTTCCTATTCAAGGTATTTTCTTATCTTCATTCGTTGAATTATTTATTACCTCATCGGTTTAAAAAAGAATGATCTAGTTTAAGTTGACATGGAGTTTCAGAAAATATTAAAGAAGACTTTTCAATTATGTGGTTCTGAACTAAAATTCTATCATATGTTCTTCAATATCGAGAGACACCATCGATAAATTTGACGTGGTAAAACGCAATTCCATTAATTTTCAGTTCGTTCTTGAATATACCGAAAAAGTGCATCTGCATATTTGATTAATATTCATGAATATTATGTCAAGTAAAATATCGATGGATAACAGAGTATGTCCATAGTTATTTTTCATGAATATTATGTCAAGTTGATAACCAATTTCTTAGATAAATATCTTTTTAGTACCTGTATGTCCAACTTACCACAGAACAAAGTGTTGCCTGAAACAGTTCGTCTTCCATTTTGCATTGATAATATCGACGCCCACACATTTATTTTTTTGTTTTTTGATGACTCGTGAACCTCATCCACATGCACTAAAAGTTGCCTGAAAAACAACTCATCTATCTGACTCTCTCTCTCACTTACCTTTTCTATTGATCTGTTTTAGTACGATCAAGAAAAAATAACATGAATTTAATATGGCACTTCAAATAATACTCCCTCTCATTCATATAATTTTCGAGTTTTGAGATTCAAAAATTAAGTACTAGTTCTTAGATTGTGAATTTTTTATGTCTTTATAATATTTTTAATTATTAATTATTGTGATTTATAGTAAATTTTTACAAAATCAAGGATTTCATGTCCGCATACAATTAAAATGTTTGATTCTCGAAGTTCAAAATTTGTCACATATTGGCAGAGAGTTTCTTTCTTCTTTTTTTATGGCAACAATCCAAGTAAATAAGTAATTTACTTCAACTTTGAGAGTGCATATCTAAACATTTTAACTTGATCTGAACTAGCAACTAAATACACAAACATAGGTATGTTTAAGTGTTCAACTAACACAGGAGAAACAAGTTAAGGTGTCTAAATGTGCGTACTCAAAGTTTAAATGCTACATTGAATCTGTTACTCATGAGTCATGAATTTGTTACATGTATAGAATCTCGACTAGAGGAAGCAGTTGAGGAACTTCCACCTCAGAATTGAAGACCTTCCTTTATTCAAGACATGTAATGTGGATGCACTTTATCAAGTTATTCAAGGAATGATACGAGAAACTAAAGCTTCATCAGGCCTCGTTCTCAATTCATTTGAACAACTTGAACAACTCTCCATGTCTAAACTCCGCGAAGATTTTCCTATCCCAATTTTCCCAATAGGCCCCTTTCACTCGCATTTTCCGGCTTCTTCCAGCAGCTTGACGTCACAAGAACAAACTTCTATCTCTTGGCTAGACACAAAACCACCTAAATCTGTAAGTTACGTCAGCTTTGGAAGTGTTGCAGCAATAGAAATTAATGACTTTCTTGAGATTGCTTGGTGCTTGGCAAACATCAATTACCCATTCTTGTGGGTCGTTAGGCCCGGATTGATTCGTGGTTCAGAATGGATCAAATGGTTACCTAGTGAGTTCTTGGAGACAGTGAATGGAAGAGGACACATTGTCAAATGGGCTCCTCAGCAACAAGTATTGTCACATCCTGCTGTTGGGGCATTTTGGACGCACAATGGATGGAATTCAACATTGGAGAGTATATGTGAAGGGGTACCAATGATTTGTATGCCATGTTTCGGTGATCAAATGGTGAACGCAAGGTACGTTAGCCATGTTTGGAAGGTAGGGGTGCAATTAGAGAATGACTTGAAGAGGATGAACATTGAAAATGTAATTAGAAGGTTGATGCAGGAGGAAGAAGGGAAACAAATTAAAGAACGAATGTTAGAGCTGAAGGAGAAGGAAAATTCATGTTTAAAGCCAGGAGGCTCTTCTTATGAGTCTCTGAGGAGCCTTACGAGTTACATCTCATCATTTTGATAATGTTTATCTTCTGTTCATGGACGCTCATTTCATCTTTATTTTGTGTCGATCTACAATTAATTTGACAATTGTTAGTTGCAAATAACTTAGTGTTTTGAAGACTGACAAAGTTGCATAGAACATGTTGTGTCAACGTGATTCAACTTCATCTAATATGACTGGAATGAGGAAAATATTAAAGAGTACAAAGTCGCAATCAAGTAGGAGTCCATACGAAGTCACATTGAAGAAGGATTCCATAACGTAGTAGGAAGCATAGTTTAACCGTGTTAATAAACACTACTAAAAAAACAGTGTTTAGCGACGGATAAATCCGTCGCCAATAGACATATATCCGTCGCTAAACTATATTTGCAATGGATTAGCGATGAAATGTTGACCGTTATAATTTTGCTTGTAGCTAACCCCTTTGCGACGGCAAAATTGATTCCGTAGCAAGATTAGCGACGATTTAGCGACATATGATATCCGTAGTAAAATGGTAGCGACGGAAAGTTTTGTCGCTAGATTTATATATTTCGTTGCAAATTACATAAATGAATTCGTCGTCCTATAATTTTACGACGAAAATAATTTATCGCTAATCCGTCGCAAACTTTTGGCAACCAATTAATATTTGTCGCAATCCGTCACCAATTTTAATTCTTTAACTATTCCCAAAATTCGTCGCAATTTCCATCGTTAAATTTGTCGTAGGTATAATTCTTTCTATTCATTTTATTTATTTATTTATAATATATAGAAAATGTAAATTATTAAACATCCTAATAATAACAAATATTCATATAACATAAATGTTACTTCATATATAACCCGTGCACCAAAACATATATTCACCTAATATTAAGTCCAAAACATCTACACCAAGTATCAAACATCTAGCAATTACTAATGTTTAGAACTCGTAATTGTTACTGCATAATTTGTTTTCCTTTAACAAAAATCAGATAAGAAAAACTAATGCTAGGGAGAAGAAATATGGTCATCATCTGAAACAACCTTATTAGGCACCATAGGTGTTGCTGATGATGCGTCACCAATAGGAGTATCAGCTGATTGATGTGATGGTAAAGAAGTTACACCTCGTATGTGCTCAAGTAATATAGGAATCATGTGATCAGTCAATGTAGGAATCA